CTTTCTGGCAGCCAGTCCCCCCCCTTCCTTCCAGCCCTGCCCCCTTCCCCCCATCTGAGATCAAGTGTGTCCAGCATTTTTCCTAAACATCTGGCTGCATTCTCCACCCAGCCCAGCCAAGGGCTTGGAGGACCCGGCACCACATGGGCACTCCGGGAGCCCGGAACACCCCGGGAGCCATGCTGAGGCCTGGTATTTTTTTCCTGCGGCCCAGTATTGGGCCGTGGCCCATAGTTTGGGAAACGCTGGTCTAACCTATGTGGTAGAATTATAAATATAGGAGCTTTGGTTTAATGTAAATATTTTATAATAAGCATTTAAAAGAAGTTTGTTTGTGTGTTTGTTTGTTTGTTAGATAGATAGAAGGGCATGTTTTTCTCCTTAAAATTATATCTGTGGTGTTAAACCCTTGAATTTCCTTTTTAGGTGGAAACTTATGGTTCAATGGAAAAGAAAGAGCGGGTGGAATTCATCCTGGAACAGATGAGACTCTGTTTGGCTGTAAAAGACTATGTTCGGACCCAAATTATCAGCAAAAAAATTAACACCAAATTTTTCCAGGAAGAAAACACAGAGGTAAAGTTGTTGGAAGATTTTTTTCTGCCATTCTGTGGCATGCATTCTCTTTGTGCACAGGAGTTTTTGTATAGTCGGTTTTTGGAATTCAATTGGATGTCATTTGTGAGATTAGTGAATCTGTTTTTAATATTGACATTTGTTTGAAATTGTTTCAGAAATCAAAGCTGAAATACTACAACTTAATGATTCAGCTGGATCAGCATGAAGGTTCCTACCTCTCAATCTGTAAACACTACAGAGCCATTTATGATACTCCTTGTATTCAGGCTGAAAGTGAAAAATGGCAGCAGGTAAAAATATTGCAAATGGGACTGAAGCAGTTCATAATGGCAAATATCCATTGCTTTAGTTTATTAATAAAATTGAGCCTTACATATAACAATATATATTCTGTAAGTAGATTGGATGCCCATACATTTTATTCATTCCCTAAGAACTGCTTTTATTTTGACATTAGTATTGTGTGGTTTCTTCTGGCTATTTTTCTGTAATAAAAGACTCATCATTTTTTCTTTTGAACAGGAACTGAAGAATGTTGTTCTTTATGTTATCCTTTCACCTTATGACAATGAACAGTCTGATTTGGTACACCGAATAAGCAGTGACAAAAAGCTAGAAGAAATCCCTAAGTATAAGTAAGTGTATCTTTTGAATAGTCTATGCTGACCCCAAAAAAAAAAAAACCTCTTTCAGGGATGTTTTGAAGGTGGGGGGGGGGGGGGGGGGTTGG